TATCTCAGAATGAAAGGTGCTTGTGTACACTCAAGTGCTGCATCGAAGGACAGAATTCTATTGGCAGCGGTTTGGGGATGTGCCATGATGATGCTGAAAGGGTGCCAACATTCATGGATATGGGACCAGTAGGTGGTTGGCACCCCGAGATGCTGGGTACTGTTATCCAGGGTAGAGGAAGGTGCAGCTGGAGACACTGGGTACCTGCTCTGTTTGTTCCGCTTGGGAACTGTCACCGTCTAGTTTCTCTCCTCGGCAGGTGGGAGAATGGGAAATTGCATCGAAATGAAGTGAGACTGGATACGAACGAGAGGTCGACGTGTGCAAACAGGCCCCTCACCAGCGAGCTCCCCATCTCGCCGTGCAGACCTGGGTGGCAGAATTGAACTTGGTTTCTCCTCAATGCCAAGAATCTGAATTTTCACCCTCTTTTCTCAACAGACCTATCGTCGCACAGGCGAAGCTGGGAAAATTCCACCCAAATGCTTACCTGAAGTAAAGGTGTCTGTCTCCAGCCTTGCGGTGGGGGGGGAGGGGTCACATGACTATGGCAGACAAGGAAGGCCATTTGTACATGATTGCATTTCAATCCAAATGATTTTCCTCTGTTCTTTCACCACACACAGGCACAATTAAGAAGATTGCACATTAGGCTGTCGCTGCATTTTTGAATGCTTACTCAACTCTTAATCTTGTCAGCCTTTGGCCTTGTTCTACAAAGCTTCCCTTATAGTCCAGTAAATGTCAAGGCGGTGCTCTTATTATTTTAAGAGCTGCGTTGTTTTCAGAGCTGACTCTGGTAACGAGCCAAGAAGCAGGATTAAACTGTACAGCTAATTGCTGTGTGCAGTGCAGCAGAAGTATGTTCAAAGCAGGAAGCATTCACTGTTGTGTCCAACTGCAAGTTACAGTCGGAACTGTGAAATAAACCTGAATGACAGTTTCAAGTAAACTAAGTCCACGGCACTTCATCTGTGTTTGCACATGACAGAGGCAAGAATGTTTCCGATCTGTATTTGCTGAACCTCTAACAATGCTGGGGGGAGAAAAAAAAAAGGAATGCATTGTAAATCTTCCAGCATTCACCTCATCCCCAGATGGAAACAAAAAACCCCTCTGGATGTTTCCCCTGCTCATGGAAGCATGAGGAAACGCAGCAGTGGAAACTGGTGCGTTACAACATGGTATTTCATCAGTATTGCACCAAGGAATGTCATTTGCAAGAGATGAAATAGCGTGGAGGTTGAAACAACTGCACAGAGGCTGGTGTCCCGTCACCACGTTACCCTTTATTTACACATGCACTGTACATGGGCTCTGACCAGCCAACTCGGAACTGGGCCCGAGGGTGAGGAGTCTCTCTGAATCCCCTGTTTGTGCCTGTCAGCCGGGACTCCCTGATCGGCCCAGGTTAACAGCCCCAGCCAAATATCTCATTGTCCGCCTGGCCCTCGTTGGCAATCACTACATCACTCCTTCACGAAGTCTGGGGGTGCAGGCCTCTTCTTTCTCTTGTAGCTTCTCCTGGGCCCAGGTTGGGTTCCTCCGACTCTGACCAGGACACGGGTGGCACGTATCAGACCATATGCTATCTCTTGCGCCCCAAGTGTCTCGGGAGAGTTTCCTCCTCTTCTTCCAATGATAACCGTATCAAGGCTGCATCTATCTTGGACTCTGAGGCTTGCTTGACACTAGACAGAGGGGGAGAATGTATTGTTTCCAACAGGCCTTCAGGCTGTTCTGAGGGGCCAGGTATGTTTTGCTCCTGCCCTGTTAGTGAGGTAACAGCTTTCAGTGATCCACGTGTTTGTTCAGGACTGTATCACCTACCCGAACTTTGTAAGTCACACGTCAGTCTCTCCTCATACCCGTACTCCGCTATTTCCATGGTTGCAGCACCAAACTTCATCCCCTGAATTAACTTGTCTCTCTCGCTTGGAGACTGCGTATATAGCCAACAGAAGACAGAGAGAGAGAGAGAGAGGCCATTTAGCTCTTTATGCCTGCACCAACTCTCTGAAAGGGCTCTCCCTAAAACAAGCTCAGCTAAAATTCCACTCACTAGCACAACTTTACATTTATAGTGCAGGTGGTGATAGTTCCTATTTCTCTGATGATTTTGCTAAATCGATTTATTTACACTGTGTGAATGGAGTAATAAGTAGAATTGCCGAGGCGGGTAGGTTGAGAGCAAGGAAGTGTACAAACATGAGTAACCCAGTTGAGCCCTTGAATCTGTTGCAGCGTTCAAGGATCTTGAGGTCATGATGGACATGTATTTTAATCCCATTTACTCACTGTGGTTCCACACCCTTTGACACTCCTGCCTATTAAACTCAGAGTTAAAGGTCTGGATTGAACTCTGAGTCCCAACAGATTTTGAAGTGAAAACAATTTGAAGGAGTGCCTCCTGACATCAAATTACAGCTCAAATGTTTAGGTTATTCCCTCCCCCCACCACATGTCCCCCTCCCCTCCCACCTTGTTCTGAACTACCGTGGAAAATACTTCCTGTTTATCTACTCTAAGAACAAATCATCAGCCTAAACGCCTCAATTAAATCACCATTTAACCAGCCACACTCACCCAGACAGTGCAATTTTTCTCACGGCTTAACCCTTTCGGCTCCAGCATCAGTCTGCTCAATCTCCATTGCATCCTCTCCAATCAAATGTATTCCTCCAGGGATTCTGTACCAAAACTAAACAACGTATTTTGCCTAACGAGAAATTTGGACAAAGGTAACATAACTTTCGCCCCTTTTGTGTCCCTTTGTGTTTGACATAAAGGTTTAAGTTCGTTTTTCTTCCTCAATTAATATTGCTAATTATGTATTGGCACACACTTCGGCGATGCTGTTAATTAAAATGTGTCTTCCTCGTCATCAACTATTTAGAAAAAGCTGGGAAGAAAAGCTAGAAAAGCTGGGCAAAAGCTGGGAAATGGGATTACAATAGTTCTGAGGAAGGGTCACCGGACCCGAAACGTTAACTCTGATCTTTCCTTCACAGATGCTACCAGAACTGCTGAGCTTTTCCAGCAACTTCTGTTTCGTTACAATAGTTTGATGGTTGTTTTTGACTGGTGCAGGCTGAAGGGCTTTTTCTGAGTTGTAGATCTCTATGATTCTAAGGCCTTACCCATTCCTAACCACCGTGCCACCCTGGTTTTAAGCACAGCTGTCAAACGTAGGGCTGGCTAGGCCCTAAACTTTGGAATTCCCTCCCTAAACTGTTGTGAATGTGAAGGTGTTGGCTCCTATCAGGTCTAAATTGCATTTTTTCAGCACCTATTTGGGATTAATTAGGGTCTCAAGATATCACCCCAAATTGAACAGCCCTCCCATCTCCATTTCTGGCAGATTGCTTCCCCTTTCATTCTGTTTCTTTTTCTTGCAGACATAACAGAAATGCCAATTTCCAATTTATCTGATGACTCTTCCTTCACAATGGCAGCCCCGATACAGTAGGCCCATGCGCAACAGGCCAGCCGCATTATTTTATCGTGTCTCTCCTTCTCGGTTTTGATTTACTTACCCCCTGGAGGCTGTGGAGAGAGAGCAACAGTGGCGATGGCATCATGAGGAGCATGGCAAGAAGTTCTGGATCCTGAGTGGTGTTGGATGGAGGTTCCTTGTGTGTGGAAGAGGCTGTAGGCCCGGAGCAGTGTCGGATGGAGGTTCCCCGTGTATGGAAGAGGCTTTAGGCCCAGAGCAGCGTCGGATGGAGGTTCCCCGTGTGTGGAGGTGGTTGTAGGCCCGGAGCAGTGTCGGATGGAGGTTCCCCATGTGTGGAAGAGGCTGTAGGCCTGGAGCAGTGTCGGATGGATGTTCCCCATGTGTGGAAGAGACTGTAGGCCCAGAGCGGTGTTGGATGGAGGTTCCTTGTGTGTGGAAGAGGCTGTAGACCCGGAGCAGTGTCGGAAGTAGGTTCCTCGTGTGTGGAAGTGTCTGTAGGCTTGGAACAGTGTCGGATGGAGGTCCCCCATATGCGGAAGCAACTGTAGGCCCGGAGCGGTGTCAGATGGAGGTTCCTCGTGTGTGGAAGAGGCTGTAGGCCTGGAGCAGTGTTGGATGGAGGTCCTCCGAGTGTGGAAGAGACTGAGGGCCCGGAACGGTGTCGGAAGTAGGTTCCTCGTGTGTGGAAGTGTCTGTAGGCTTGGAGCAGCGTCGGATGGAGGTCCCCCATGTGCAGAAGCAACTGTAGGCCCGGAGCGGTGTCAGATGGAGGTTCCTCGTGTGCGGAAGAGGCTGTAGGCTTGGAGCGGTGTCGGATAAAGGTCCCAGGCGTGGAAGTGGCTGTAGGCCCGGAGCGGTGTCGGATGGAGGTTCCCTGTGTGTGGAAGAGACTGTAGGCCCGGAGCGGTGTCGGATGGAGGTCCCCCGTGTGTGGAAGAGGCTGTAGGCCCGGAGGGGTGTCGGATGGAGGTTCCTCGTGTGTGGAAGTGGCTGTAGGCCTGAGCCCAACATGGTTAGAGTGAATCCAAAGTGTCAGTCCCTTGGCATCTGCGGCAACGAGAGCAGGAAGCCCGGGATCTCCCGGAGAGCGGGCCGAAGTGTAGGAGATCGAGGCCTTGCACTTAAGAAAGAACTTTTACCTTTATTCCTTCATTTATCCACTTAAGACTAGGAAGGACTGTAATGTCATCTTTTAACTTTATTTCTTTATTTTTCTACTTGTACTAAGAACAATGGTGATGCTTTACTTTAAACTTTGTTTCTCTATGTTACTATGTGTACCTAAGGTTTGTAACTGTGGGCCTAAGATGTGTGGCGACATTGTACATTTGGCACTGCCCTCCTGTACTTGAGGACATAAAGCTTAAATCAAATTGGCTCAAACTAAATCAAATCAAATTAACGTGCGAATTGTGCCTCTCCTTCCAGCTGTTCTATCAACCTCACTGTGTAAATAGAAACTCAGGACATTAGTGACTGAAATTGAAAGGATAGTGACTTGACAGGGTAATAAAGCTTTTGACCTGTTTGTTGTCCTTTTTAGTGTCTCTGATGTGCACATATGCCAAGAAACGAGCAGGATCTCATTCTACTTTGTGGTGACAAATGAAACCTTACAACCAGTGTCCAAGTCTGATGTGGAAAAGGCAATCAGGTACGATTTAAATTGCGAAGCAGGGATTGACGCGGAGAGATCTCCATCTGGTTATGCCTGCGGCTGACGTTGCTCTTTAAACATTTCAGAATGGTCAGATCTCGGTTCAACAACGCCTTTTCCCTGGACGACGAGACGTTGGAATTTATCGGCATCGAACCCACCTTTGCCCCAGTCGCTGAGCCATCAGTCAAAGTCTGGCTGATTGTGTTTGGTGTCGTCATGGGCTTGGTTATTGTCGCTTTGATTGTGAATATCATCACCGGTTACCGGGACAGAAAGAAGTAAGTGTTGCCAGTGCCTCCTTTTCTCCTGCTTTCCCTTTCCAGGGTGAAATAGCTGACTTGCAAGAACGGATAGGCGTTATACTAGGGGTGGGATGTGAATCCGCTCAGTAACATTTCACTAAAATGGGTAAATGGCTCCCATTGACACTGTGTGACCATTCTGTGAATCTGCAAACACCATTTGTCACTGGGGTGACCCTGTCCCTGAGGGTATCTAACTCTTCTACATCACATCGCCATTGGCACAGCTGGACAAAGGGGCTATTTTGGGGTGGCACGGTGGCTCAGTGGCTCAGTGGTTAGCACTGCTGCCTCACGGTGCTAGGGATCCAGGTTTGATTCCAGCCTCGGGCAACTGTCTGTGTGGAGTTTGCACATTCTCCCCATGTCTGCATGGGTTTCCTCCCATAGTCCAAAGATGTGCAGGTTAGGATGGATTGGCCATGTTAAATTGCCCCATGGTGTTCAGGGATGTGCAGGCTAGGTGGGTTAGCCGTGGCAGATGCAGGGTTACAGGGATAAGGTAGTGGAGTGAGTCTGGGTGGGAGGTTCTTTGAAGGTTTGGTGTGGACTAGATGGGCCAAAAGTCCTGTTTCCATACTGTAGGGATTCTATGATTTCTTGAAGAGAATTTTACACTACCTGGACATTTCAGAGGAACTGGTTCAAATTCAAAGGATTGAAGGGGTCCTGAACTGAATGCTGCATGTGGAAAGAACTCATTGCTATGTTCAGACATGAGCTTTATATTTCGCTTTCAGCACAGAAACGTACGTGTCCCAAGCCTTGCACATCACTTAGCTCCCAGTTCTACTCTTTCAAAATGAGCATGTGTGGTTTGAGGGGCGGGGGGGGGGGGGGGGGGAGTCTGGGAATTCTGGACAATGCTTTTTTTTTGCTTTTATTTATTTATGAGGTGAGGACATTGCTGGCCAGGCAGCATTTATTGCCCATCTCTAAATGCTCAGAGTCAACCCCATTGCTGTGGGTCTGGAGTCACATGTAGGCCAGACCAGGTAAGGATGGCAGTTTCCTTCCCTAAAGGACATTAGTGAACCAGATGGACTTTTCTGACAATTGACAATGGATTCATGGCCATCATTAGACTCTTAATTGAGTTTTTGTTTTAATACTTGAATTCAAATTCACCCATCTGCCAATTCACTCGATTGTTTCACCTGACTGTTCTCTAAGCGTTGGCTGGAAAGTCAACAGTCCCCATTTTTCAATCTTCAAATGATCTGAAATGAAATGGAACATGTTGAGTGGGAGAGTGATGGAAAACTTGTTCAGAAATAGTGACCAGGCGCATCTGGGACTACAGCATGGGAATTATCTAAATGTCTGTGTTGCTCATTGTCAGATGTCATTGTCTGAAAATAATGATAGGGTTAGGTTGCTCCATCCTGGCGAGGACAGGAAGTTGGCTTCCTTGTTTCCAACACCCTCCTGGTCGATTGCAATAAATATTTCTAATTTTTCTAGCACAGGGTTAACGTCACAAGCCAACTTAAAAATGTTGTTAACTGGATCAAAACGAAGGAGACAATTTTAAAGGTTTCTTGAGTAAGAGGAATTTTATTACATACTAACCCAAAAAACAAGGCATTAAATGCACACACACACAAACACAGGTAGTAAGCGTAACAGGGGAGGGGTGGTACAGTCAAGGGGATGAATGCTACACAGTTTAAACATCCTTAGATTTCTGGAGGCATCAGTGTTTTAACCTGAGACCATGGTTGACTACTTGTTGCCTGGTATCCTCAGCAGTGACAAAGCTTTGAGGTCTTGGTAACTGCTTATTTCCCCGATTCACCAGGCACTGTTTAAACTGAGAAACATAGAAAATAGGTGCGGGAGTAGGTTATTCAGCCCTATGAGCCTGCACTACCATTCAATATGATCATGGCTAATCATTTTGAGAGAGATTAGCAGGAGAAAGAGACAGTCTTCCAGTTCTTGATGACAAGTCCATTTTCTTTTTCTCTGCTCTGCTGCTCTGGTGTACATTTCTGAGTATGGTTTCATTGTCTTTTCAAGCTGCCAATGTGCTTCTGCTCTAGACTGAGCCTATGGGATTGAAAAAAGGATAGAGTTCTTATTTATTGAAGCTTAGGATGTGATTATCTACATAGCCCATGTCAAAATATCAGGGAGAATGTCAATATTGAGGTACAAAACCAGGAATTGAGCAACCTGTCCCTTGCTGGGTGACCTATAATTGTCCGTTTTCAGCAGTTAGAAATTGGCAATAAACGCTGGCCGAGATACCAAGTCAACAAAATGTGAACAAATAAAATAAAAGAGTGCTGGGAGTGGCGATTTGGTCAAGATGCCTTTCACCCTTTACACTGTGTGTATGATGCTTTGCACCAGGAGTGAAACTTTATCCTTCTATCACTGGACTATCACTGGTACAAATCACCCGAAATTGGGCTCAATGGTGGTAAGCCTGATGAATGCTTTCCCGTCTGGTAAAAAAATGGGAATTGCAAGTCTGAGTTCAGGAACCTCAGCCTTCGTAGCGAAAAGAGGAATGTTCTTGCACGTGGGTGTCCGTGCTATGACAGTGTTGTTATAACGTGCTGACTCTTCGATTAGTGCTAATGTTATTTGTCAACAGATTAATCCCAGCAGTCATAAACCTTTGCCTGTTGTTGCCAATGATATTATGCACTTATCTGTTTTTAAACTTTGGAGTGTGTTGCAAGTCTTGTTACCGTAGCAATATTGTTCCTGTACAGAATGTTCTAGCTCAGACTGACAGGATAAAAGTCTTTCCTGGTATTAAAGTTTCTGAGCTTTGCTGACCTTTGACCTTGTGGTACAAACTGCCCCAAATGGAGCACCAATTAAAGGTTTAATTTGATGGTTGCAGATCTTTGCTTTGTTCTACATTGTAAAACTGACAGAAACTTTTTATTTATATGGTGCCTTACATATAATAAAAATGTCACAGGGAATTTTCTGTGATGTTACTGAGCAAACTTGTGCATCAAGCCAGTATTTAGGCAAATGGCCAAATATTTGTCAAGAGGTTAGCTTTGAGGAGAGTCTTAAAGGAGCAAAGTGAAATCAAGAGGGTGAGAAGTTCCAGGATTTGGGGCCTAGACTACTGAAGGCTCGTCTGTAGTATGGGACCAACTAAAACTGGGATATGCCAGAATTAGAGGGACAAAGATATATCCGAAAGTTATGGGGGTGTTACAGGAAATTACAAAGAGGAAGAGTTACAGCAGGGAATTGTAAACAAGGATGAACGTTTCAAAATCAAAGTGTTATCTGTCTGAGTGCCAATGTGAGAGAAGAGATGGTCAATAAGTGGGACTTTAGTACCACTAAGGACAGGGGCATCAAGCTTTAGGTATCCTCAAGTTTACAGAAAGTAGAAATGAAGACAGCACTTTTGAGCAACGTAGTCCAGGGGCAAACAAGGCGTGGGTAAGGAGCTCCTCAGTAGATTGGCTGAAGTGCGGAGCAAACAGGGAGCAAAGGGGTGTGTGGATTGTGAATTGGCAGACTTGCGATGGCATGGGGTATGTGATGGAGGCCAGCTCACTTTGAAATCTCTCCCAGTTGTGGTCAATCAAAGAGAGATGTGAACGCGGCCACTTTCACTATGACCCAAACCATGGCCGCCCCCAAAGAGCTGCCACCGTGACTAGCATGAGAAATGGAATATGGCGAGTTTTGGCACACAGTCCCTTTGGTCAGATTGTGCTCGGTTTTAACGCAGAAAGGCGAAATTGGAAAATGTGACATTTTCCGACATTCCCATCCCTCAGCAGCGGGAGTACAAAACTTCAGGAAAAGGCTGACACGATAAAAGCACAGTGTGGCAGACTTAGGTGAACTGGATGTTAGGAATTATGTAAAACAAAAGAGTGCAGAAAGGGCATTCACTTTTTGTCGGAATTTACAAATTCTCTACATTGGCAAACTGTCATGAATTGTAGAATCCCTACAGATTGGCTGCAGGCCATTTGGTCCATCAGGTCCATGCCGACCCTCCGAAGTGCATCCACCCAGACTTACACCCCCTACCCCATCCTTATAACCCTGCATTTCCCATAGCTTTGGATCAGAAACTGGCTAGCTGTAAGTTTGGATCAGAAATTGGCTAGCTGTAAGAAGACAGAGGGTGGTGGTTGATGGGAAATGTTCATCCTGGAGTTCAGTCACTAGTGGTGTACCTCAAGGATCTGTTTTGGGGCCACTGCTGTTTGTCATTTTTATAAATGACCTGGATGAGGGCGTAGAAGGATGGGTTAGTAAATTTGCGGATGACAGCAAAGTCGGTGGAGTTGTGGATAGTGCGGAAGGATGTTGTAGGTTACAGAGGGACATAGATAAGCTGCAGAGCTGAGCTGAGAGGTGGCAAATGGACTTTAATGCAGAAAAGTGTGAGGTGATTCACTTTAGAAGGAGTAACAGGAATACAGAGTACTGGGCTAATGGTAAGATTCTTGGTAGTGTGGATGAGCAGAGAGATCTCGGTGTCCATGTGCATAGATCACTGAAAGTTGCCACCCAGGTTGATAGCGTTGTTAAGAAGGCGTACGGTGTGTTAGGTTTTATTGGTAGAGGGATTGAGTTTTGGAGCCATGAGGTCATGTTGCAGCTGTACAAAACTCTGGTGCGGCCGCACTTGGAGTATTGCGTACAGTTCTGGTCACCGCATTATAGGAAGGATGTGGAAGCATTGGAAAGGGTGCAGAGGAGATTTACCAGGATGTTGCCTGGTATGAAGGGAAGGTCTTATGAGGAAAGGCTGAGGGACTTCAGGCTGGTTTTGTTAGAGAGAAGAAGGTTAAGAGGTGACTTAATAGAGACATACAAGATGATCAGAGGATTAGATAGGGTGGACAGTGGGAGCCTTTTTCCTAGGATGGTGATGGCTAGCACGAGGGGACATAGCTTTAAACTGAGGGGTGATAGATATAGGACAGATGTCAGAGGTAGGTTCTTTACTCAGAGAGTAGTAAGGGCGTGGA